AGTTCCCACTGATCTGATTCCTTCTTCCAAGAACAGAATCTCTCTCTCCCTTCTGGGTGTGCTGTCTATCTGTCTGTCTCTGTCCCTGTCTTTCTGTAGGCATGCACCTTTTTGCACATGGATGTAGAGGCCAGAGGTCAGCATCAGATGCTCTCCTCAGTATCTCTGTACTTTATTTTTAAAAATGTAAAACTCATTTAGTTTACAAATTATAATATAATTACATCATTTTCCCCTTTCCATTCTTTCCTCCAACCCTTCCCATGTACTCTCCTCTTGCTCTTATTCAAATTCATGGCCTCTTTTTCTTTACTTAATTGTTGTTTTACACACACAACACTCCCCCCCCAGACACACATACAGACACACCCCCACACAGACACAGACACAGACACAGACACAGACACAGACACAGACACACACACACACACACACACACACACACACACACACACGACACAGACACAGACACAGACACAGACACACATTGGGTGTGTTCTTACCTAGGGAAGACTACTTCCCCAGATCTCATCATTTCTTAACTTCTGAGCCATCTCTCCAGCCTCTCATCATTTCTTAATTGCTTGTAATTCTTTGCCTAGGGTTGGGGCCTCTTGAGTTCCCCCCTCACATTAATGTGTCTATTGGTGTCATCCTGGTTCAGTTCATGTTTAGGCAGCCATGTTTGTGAGACTTTCAGGATGTAGCATCTCTGACATTTCTAGGAGCCACAGTCTTACAGCAAACTGTTCCTCTGGCTGTTGCAGTCTTTCCCTGACACTTTTCTTTGGCAATAATCCCTGAGCCCGAGGGGCAGGAGTGTGCTGTAGATGTATTAGCTGGGACTGGGCATCACATGGGACTGGGTGTTACAGCTCTGCATTTTGATAAGCTCTGGTTTTCCATAACCATCTCCTTCTGCTGCAAAGAGAAGTCTCCTTGATGAGGGGGGAGAACTACACTTATCTTTGGGAATAAGGACAAATATTTAGAATGCAATTAGGGATTATGCTGGCTCAGTAAAGTGATAGCAAAGCTTGTTAATTGGCTAGGCTGGCTGGCCATTGGACTTGGGTGATCGTCCTGCCTATGCTTCCCCAGTGTTGGGATTACAAACATGAACAGCCACACCTGGCTTTTCTGTGGATGGTGCGATTCAAACTCAGGTCCTCAGGCTTGCAAAGCAAGCACTTTACTGACTGGAGCATCTGCCAGCCTTATAATATTGCTTTGTTAGACTTAAAAATTACACATTGTGTCTCAATTTCTCAGTGTATCCTAAAGCATGAAAGTTCTTTTATTCTGAATGACATATGCTCTGTTTGTTAGAATGAGGACCACATGGACCTCTTTCTTATTCATGTCTAATATTGGTTGCACAGTACAATTTCTATCTCTTCGTAATCATTCCTAATCAGTCCACTGAAAGACAATTAGCTAGCATTTGTTGTCTCTGAAACATGGTGGGTAAAACTGAAGGACATTATTGACTCTGTTAGCTAGCTGGGAATTTGAGAAAAATTTGCCACTATTATAATCTGCTTTTCCTTTCATTTGCAGTTCCAAAGAACATTTGAGTCTCTTAAAAATGTTTCCAACAAATCTGACCTGCAGAGGACCTACCAGAAGCTTGGGAAGGAGTTGGAAAATCTGGATTATTTAGCCTTCAAACGTCAGCAGGTAGGATCCGGGCCTCTCCTTTGGTGGAGAAGGGGAACAGTTCCGGCTTCCTGCAGTCCTACCCATCAGAGGTTCAGGAAGGTCGGGGAGTGTTATCTTCTAATGATTGGGGCAGAAATAGCTTGTGATGATCTCTGTGTCCCTCTGGCTACCTACAGTGTTCAGTCTCTCAGATGGGTACTTTAGGGGTTTCTGCACTTGTCCTTTATGTCTTCTAAAGAAGATTCCTGCTGCTTTGTGAAGGTCTAATGACCGTTTGGTAATGGTGTCTCAGCAGCACAAAGGGAACTTCTGTGATGGCTTGGCCACATGGCTTTTAGATTTGGCAGGGTATATCCAAGGGGAATCAAAAGCCACCCAAAAGACCAGGAAAAGGGCATGACTGAACCTACAGAGTGAGGGAAAAGAGTAAAAAAACTCAACAATAGCAATTGACCTCTACATTTTTTTTTTCTTTAGAGTAAAACCTTGTTACATGCGGAAGGCTAAAGGGAAATTTTCTTAACAAATGCATGCCATTTGACCCACTTGGGTAGTCTTAAGATAATCCCAGAGACAAATCAAGCCTTTATAAATTTGCTTTCAGAATCGGTACTGTCCACACCCAGTATTCACAATGATTCATTCCATGTGTGGCAGAGACAGACACTGCCGCAGTGGATGGCCGTTCTTGTCAGGCTGAGTTGGCTGCAGTTTCTGTGCGGCCACTAGGTGTCAGGGTCGTCAAGCTTTTACTTTGTTGCCAGGCTTTTTTGGATTAGAGCAGACCATTAGCGGTTTAAATTAGGTTGCTTGAAAACTGAGAACATGCTCAGTGATAGCTGGTGTCTAGAATCATGGCGAAATGGATGACCTGGCATTTAAGAATCTCCTATGTTAGCGTGTCTGTCAGAGAATGCGACTGTCTCACTGTTGCCTGATTCACAAGTTTTTGCGTCTTTTGTGTGTGGGCTTTCAAAGCAGTATTTTTGTCAAACCCCATTAAATCCATACAATATGGCTTAGAAACATTAGCTCAAGAAGAGAATTGAATCATGGTCTAGGTTCTTGCTCTATCATAGATGTAAAACAGTTTCTCCTCAAAATTGAGTATTTAACCTTTCTGTGGCTTTATCTGTCTAAGAGTCATATTTGTTTTATGGAATGTTCTTGACTAGGGCAAATGGATTATCTTGACACATACTTTTTACAGAAAAGAACATGCTATTCATTTAAGTGGGTGTTAGCAGACATAGCACGGGGTGTCAGCATCACTGAGAGCTACCACACTGATTTACCAGATGCTGTTTCTCAGCATCCACACCACGGATCCCTGCTCTGGATTGTGTAGCTTTCATTCCAGTTTTGTTTCCAAGATCATACTTGACCATCAGGGGTGTGTTTGACTTGGCAGGCAGTAGTCATTACCCTCTTGCCTGATCCTTTCTTATTAGCAAATTTCCCATGACTAGATCCTTACATTAGCTAATTGTAAATTTGGAAGAAAGTAAGTGCTGCTAGGGCAGAAGGGAGGAACACTGAGAGGGGTGATGCTGAGGACAGATATGTGTGAGGAGAGGAGACAATGCCTACGAATGTGGGTATGTCATAGATACTGCCGCCTAAGCCATTACTCTGTGACACATAATAAGACTAAAACATTCATGAAGGAAGTCACTAAATGTCATGACAGTGCAGTAGAATCAGTTTTATTAGTGCCATTCGTAGGTGAGAACACTAAAGAGTTATGTAACCCTCCTAAGATGTGTGCTGAGGCAAGAAGCTGGATTTCAGGCCTAAGTCAGCCTGACTCCAGACCTGGAGTCAGCATCGCCTGGCTGGGAAGGGCTTAAAGGGTCAGAGCATCAGCTGCTCTTTGACTTGGATGGGATTTGTCTTTATCTTCCATCCTGTTCCTTTAAAGCTCAAAAAAAAATTTCTGTAAAGCACACGGTGAAAAGTACTTTTTTTTCTGTTCCTTTTTGTCCCACTGGGAAAGATTTAGATCTCTGTAAAATTGCTAATCTAGCGAGACAACTTCCTAGTTATAAAAGTTGGATTCTTCACACCAAGACCTCCTGGTGACTGGTTTTCTGATCCCATGGCACTCACTGTTCAACTCATAGGACAGGGTCTGTGGTTGCCTCCGTTTGTCTTCTCCTTACAGTCTCACAGCTTCTGACCATGTTATGAGCAAAGAAACATGCCCAGTCTTGGCCTTAGCCTGTGGGCCATTAAAAGTAACGTGTTGGGGCTGGCGAGATGGCTCAGTGGTTGAGAGCACTGGCTGCCCTTCCAGAGGTCCTGAGCTCAATTCCCAGCAACCACATGGTGGCTCACAACCATCTCTAATGAGATCTGGTGTTCTCTTCTGGCCTGCAGACCTGCATGCAGGTAGAACACTGTATACATGATAAATAAAATCTTAAAAAAAATACTAAGGCTTGCAACATGGTGGCTTTGTAACTCATATCATCTACATTGTGTAGTGTATTAGTCCATTTGCTGTGGCTATAATAAAATACCCGAGCTGGCCTTAAAAAAAAAGTAACGTGTTTTGTCTTGCTTTGGAATGCAGGTAGGCATCAGCCCTTACCTTCTTGTGTGCAAATGCTAACAAATTCTCCTTTGCCCAGTCTTAGGTGTTCTCCTAATTTATTTCATTCCTGTATACACTTTGGAAAGAAAAAAGAAAATACTAGTATCACCCAAGCTTTACAACAGGTTGGCCAGTTCATTAATTGTAATAATTTTTACTAATTCATTCACTAAATTTTCTTTTATTTCTCATGAAATATTTGTATGTATGAACTCTCTTGTATGTATCTTTCATAGAGATTTTATTGTAAATATACATATTTCTTTAGAAAATTTAGGTGCCATAGGTTTGTTTTACTTGAACTATATTTTAATATCCTTCTTGGAGAGATTTCTTTTTGAGTAATAGGTAGACCCTTGTTGTACTTTGCTTTTAAAAATCATGGAGAGAGGAAGGGAGGGAGAGATTGTATATATATATACAGTTGTGTGTCCAGGTTGGAACACACAACACAATATTGATTCTTGTCTCTCTGATAATGCCTGTTATCCTTGCCTTCTGACCTTCACACGAGATTTATATAACTTTGTATTCAATCTATCTAGCCCCTTTCTATTTACTTATTTAACTACTACTCATTCTTTAAAGTTAAACTGAAGTCTTTCCTTCCTCTTGGCACCTCATCCAGTGTCCTCCAGTCAATATGTAACCTTCATTTTTAGCTTTTACCTGTGTGACAGTCCAAGTAGTTCAGTGGATAGAGGGTGGGCTTTTTAATTATCCTGGCTGACAGTGTTTCCACTGTCTTAACCACTAGACTTTCTTCTTTTAAAACTCAGGGAAAATAGCACCAGACTTGAGCATGTTTGGAGAAAATACGATGAGGTGTAAAGAAAGTCATTTAATGTTTATAAACAAAACTACACAGCATCTAACACATCTACCATTAATAGCTATTATGATGTTGTTTAGTGTTAACCTCATAACCCATTTCTTAAATGGTTTATAATTTCCATAGGGATGTCTTCTCTGTTTACATACTTTTGCACTACAAATAGGGTCTAGTGCTGTTCTAAAAATATAATATGGTATGGGATGATTTTGGATGTATGTAGTCTGATAGCTAGTGACTAGAGTCACATAAAGAAAGTAATAGCTCTCAAAAAGGGAGTTATGATGGGGCTTGGGAGATGGTTTGGTTGGTAAAATGCTTCCTGGATAGGTATGAGGACCTGAATTCAACCCCAAAGCCCAGTGCTAAGGTGTGTGTCTTCAATGGCGATGGTTGGGAAGTAGAGATGAGGATCCCTGGGGCTTGCCAGCCAGCCAGTCTAACCACTTTGGTGACCTTCAGGTTAGTAAGAGTTCCTCCTTCAACAAGGTTAGGTAGAGAGTGATGGAGGAAGATACCCAACATAGACCTCTGGCTTCTAAATGCGCGCGCGCACACACACACACACACACACACACACACACACACAAGCGAGGGGAGATGGAAACATTTGGTTCCAATATGCCTTTGCAGTGATGTCTCTTGACACTTCCTAAATATAACACCAGTAGCACAGACACTGAGAGCAACAATCAATAAATGGGACCTCTTGAAATTGAGAAGCTTCTGTAAGGGAAAGGATACGATCAATAAGACAAAATGGCAGCCTTCAGAATGGGAAAAGATTTTTACCAACTTCACATCTGACAGAGGGCTGATCTTCAAAATATATAAAGAACTCAAGAAACTAGTCACAAAAGAGCAAATACCTAATTTAAAAAATGGAATACAGATCTAAACAGAATTCTCAACAGAAGAAACTCAAATGACTGAAAGACATTTAAAGAATTGTTCAACATCCTGAGCCATCAAGGAAATGCAAATCAAAATGACTCTGAGACCTATCAGAATGGCTAAGATCAAAAACACTGATGACAGCTTACGCTGGAGAGGCTGTGGAGTAAGGGGAACATCCTCCATTGGGTATGTTGTGCTTTCATCTTCGTTGAATTCTAGGAACTCTTTAATATCTTTCTTTATTTCTTCCTTGACTCAGTGATGATTCAGTTGAGCATTGTCCAGTTTCCATGAGTTTGTAGGCTTTCTGCAATTAGTGTTGTTGAATTCTAACTTTAAGCCATGGTGATTCGATAAGATACAGGGGTTTATTCCATTTTTTTTGTATCTGTTGAGGTTTGCTTTGTTATTGAGTATGTGGTTAATTTTAGAGAAGGTTCCATGAGGTACTGAGAAAAAGTTAATATTCCTTTGTGTTTGGGTGCAATGGTCTATAGATGTGTGTTAAGTCCATTTGAGTCATGACATCTATTAATTCTCTGTTAAGTTTCTGTCTGGCAGACCTGTCTAGTGGTGAGAGTGGAGTGTTAATTTTAACTATTAGCATATGGGGTTTGATGTGTGATTTAAGCTTTAGTAATGTTTCTCTCTCACTATTAGCATATGGGGTTTGATGTGTGATTTAAGCTTTAG